ACTGCCCTACATTATATTAATTTGATTAATTTAGAGGGAATGTGAGGATGTGATATTCTGCTTCTTGGCTTACGGCTGCTTGGCTGATGTCCTAATGTGGCTGCAGAAAAATGCCTCGGACCTTACAAAGTTGCCTTACCAAACAGCCTAGTAATCTTTATTTTATTTTTTTAAAAGGCAAGCAGCTCTAGCAATTGTCATTGGAGAAAGAAAAGGAGTACTTGTGGCACCTTAGAGACTAACCAATTTATTTGAGAATAAGCTTTCGTGAGCTACAGCTCACTTCATCGGATACATACTGTGGAAACTGCAGAAGACATTATATACATGGTCTCTGTGTATATAATGTCTTCTGCAGTTTCCACAGTATGCATCCGATGAAGTGAGCTGTAGCTCACGAAAGCTTATGCTCAAATAAATTGGTTAGTCTCTAAGGTGCCACAAGTACTCCTTTTCTTTTTACTGTAACAAGAGTGATCAGGTAAGGTGAGCTATTACCAGCAGGAGAGCGGGAGGTGGGAGGGGGGACCTTTTGTAGTGATAATCAAGGTGGGCCATTTCCAGCAGTTGACTAGACCGTGTGAGGAACAGTGGGGGAGACAGGCCAGTCCTTGCTTACAGACAGCCCCCCAACCTGAAGCAAATACTCACCAGCAACCACACAACAAAAACACTAACTCAGGAACCTATCCTTGCAACAAAGCCTGTTGCCAACTGTGTCCTCATATCTATTCAGGGGACACCATCATAGGGCCTAATCACATCAGCCACACTATCAGAGACTTGTTCACCTGCACATCTACCAATGTGATAATGCCATCATGTGCCAGCAATGCCCCTCTGCCATGTACATTGGCCAAACTGGACAGTCTCTATGTAAAAGAATAAATGGACACAAATCAGATGTCAAGAATTATAACATTCAAAATCCAGTCGGAGAACACTTCAGTCTATTTGGTCACTTGATTACAAACCTAAAAGTGGCAATTCTTCAACAAAAAAACTTCAAAACCAGACTCCAATGAGAGACTGCTGAATTGGAATTAATTTGCAAACTGGATACAATTAACTTCGGCTTGAATAAAGACTGGGAGTGGATGTGTCATTACACAAAGTAAAACTATTTCCCCATGTTTATTCCCCCCCCCCCTCACTGTTCCTCACACATTCTTGTCAACTGCTGGAAATGGCCCACCTTGATTATCACTACAATAGGTTCCCCCGCTCTCCTCTGCTGGTAATAGCTCACCTTACCTGATCACTCTTGTTACAGTGTGTATGGTAGCACTCATTGTTTCATGTTCTCTGTGTATATAAATCTCCCCACTGTATTTTCCACTGCATGCATCCGATGAAGTGAGCTGTAGCTCACGAAAGCTTATGCTCAACTAAATTTGTTAGTCTCTATGGTGCCACAAGTCCTCCTTTTCTTTTGCGGATACAGACTAACATGGCTGCTCCTCTGAAACCTGTCATTGGAGCGAGGACAAGTGTCAAGAGATGCCTTCTTGAGCGTATGTCTGATTATCAGCACCTCTTAAAGGAGTGACAACTTCCCCTCTGAGAAGGAAGCATTGATGGTGTCTTATGCTAACACATCTGGTTTCCTTATTAGTCACCTTACCAGTTAAGGACAATTCTGGATTGTAGGTTGTAGTCTAAAGTTCTCAGAACATATCCATAAACTTAGTGAGTGGCCAAAACTCAAATATAGAAGAAATTATATTTGTTTCTTTCAGGCATCAATCTAGCTACCACTGTCGTCTGCATCCAAGCTATCCTGTAGGCAAAGCAGTTGGGAAAACTCCATGCCATGAGAAAAACTTAACTTAGTATCTGAGAAAAGACCATGTGGAAAAGTTCTGCTGTTTGGGACTTTACAGATGTTGAGGTGGAGGAAATAGCCTCTTTGCCGCTATCATAGCCACAGCCTAATAATTTTTAAAAAATGAACTGTCTTTATGGCACACACATTTTAATTTAAAGCACAATTTCTGCCAGCAGCACCTTAATCTCCCTCCTTCTGTGGATCTGTGAGAGATAACATCTGTGTACTGAGGTGATCTAGGAGGAAAATGCAATGCCAGGAGTATTTCAGGGCCACCATTTTAATAGTGAACATATAAGATGTTAGAGAATTGTATAGTCATTCTTTCTCAGATACTTGGAACCCATCCTCTTTCACTAATCCATAAGGTGGACCATTAAAATTGCTCCTGTACTCTTAACAGGAGCAAAGGTGAGCCTTGACTCAAAGAGAAGGAAATAATGGTCTCTCCATGACGCATGAGAACTTCATTCCCTCTGTTCCTTCTAATCCCAGTCCAAAACAAGATCTACAGTGTGAACAGGTTCATACATACAACCAGAAACCTTCCTGAGAGGGTCCATACAGAAGAAGGCACAATGAAGAACTGTTAAAACAAAACAAAAGTTAAAATCAAACTTTGAAGGGAAATTCAAGATTTTTTTTGAACTGGGGAGAGGGACTAAAATGGATATTAAAGGGGAACAAGTTCTACACTGTGGGCTCCACCAGTGCATATTGATGAATACTAATATTGATGACTATAATGTTAATCACTGTAATCTAATTCCATGCTTCAGGACTTCAGCTGGTCACCTGCAGAGGTCAGGAAGAAATGTTCCCCCCCGATGCACAATTGTAATTATTTATTTATTTCCCTTCCTTACTCTGAAGAATCAGAGATCTTCCACAGCTGGAGATAGGATACCAGCTATGATGGACTGGTGTTCTGAGCTGTTACAGAAAATCCTCTATCTTAGATGCCTGGCTGCTGTGTCTTTCTCACATGCTCAGGGTCTAACTCAGGGGTGGGCAAACTTTTTGGGCCGAGGGCCGCATCTGGGTGGGGAAATTGTATGCAGGGCTGGAGCAGGGGGTTGGGGTGTGGGAGGGAGTGCGGGATGTAGGAGGGGATGTAATGTGCAGGAATGGGCTCAGAGCAAGGGATTGGGGCAGAGGAGGGGTGAGGGGTGTATGAGGGGGCTCAGGGCAGGGGGTTGGGGTGCAGGAGGGGTGCGGGGTGTATGAGGGGGCTCAGGGCAGGGGTTGGGGTGCAGGAGGGGTGCGGGGTGCTGGAGGGGGATCAGGGCAGGGAGATGGGGTGCACGGGAGTGCAAGGTGCAGCAGGGGGCTCAGGGCAGGGAGTTGGGAGGTGGGGTGCAGGAGGGGTTCGGGCTCTGGCCTGGTGCCACTTACCTAAAGCAGCTCTGGGGTGGCAGCAGTGTGCACTGGGGCCAGGGCAGGCTCCCTGCCTGCCCTGGCCCCATGCCGCACCGCTGGCACCACATTGGCACGCCTCCAGGTACCTCCCCTGAAGCTCCCATTGGTCGCGATTCCCCATTCCCAGCCAATGGGAGCTGCGGGGGGCGGTGCCTGGAGGCAAGGGCAACGCACGGAGTCGTCTACCCCCTCCCCCCCCCGGGGCCACAAGGACGTGGTGCCGGCTGCTTCTGAGAGCGGCGCGGGGCCTGTGGCATCACGGGGGGCAATCCCGTGGGCTAGATCCAAAGATCTGATGGGCCGGATCTGGCCCATGGGCCGTACTTTGCCCACCCCTGGTCTAACTGATCACCAGATTTGGGGTTGGGAAGGAATTCCCCCCTGGTCAGATTGGCAGGGATGTTGGGGGTTTTTACCCTCTTCTGCAGAGTGGAACCTGCATCACCTGCTGGGATCACCTGGGCATATCTTACCTAGTCATTTCCAGCTGCATTGCTGACACCTCAGTTTCTCCTGTCTTCTACGTTTTGGCACAAAACAGCATTGAAACGGTTACATGTAGCAACGTTCTCCTTTCCCTTTCCTTAGCTTTCTGTAAATTTGCAGATGAGCGAAGGAAGAAATTTGGCAAGAAAAAAGACAGGCTAGCTACAGTGGTAAACCTCAAGCAAAGAAATCATGGCTCTGTCCAGAAAAGATTGGATGTTTTTTCCAACATATTATAATGAAAGAACGATGTACTAGCCTGAGCATGCTGTACTCTACTTTTGGCAAGCTCAGCTGTCTTTCACCTGTTCCCAACTCAGAAAGATTGAACTTCAATGTCTTTCCCCTACAAACTGCCTGCTTTCTAACTGCATGGTTATCAATTAAAGCCCTTCTTTGGGTTTTCCCTTTAAAAGAGCCTTTTCCAGCATACCTTCCTGGTAGTTGGCCTGGCTCCAGTAACAGCTGTACTCCAGTATTGTTCCTTTACTTCTGACTGCAGCAGGTTGTTACTATTTTCCTTTTAACTAGTAAGTATTTTGGCCCAGATTCACAAAAATATTTAGGCTGTTAACTGTTAGGCCCACATCCACAAATGTATTTAAGCGCCTATGTTCCTTTTTCTGTTGTCTGCCTTGGTGTGGCTTCTGCACTAGTGCTTTCTCTCATACCCTGGAAAGTTATACAGCCTTATATATTATCAAGTGGATGATCTTGGATAATGACAGAGCAAACAAAAATAGAAAATGCATTCACTTAGAAATGTAGGTGCTCTTTATTCCCTTTTTCTTCTTCTCTCTTGCCACTCCCCTATTTGGCATTAGCGACTTTTATAGCCTTCTTCCAAAACTCGTGATTGTATGCCTGACTGTTGTGCAAATTGGTCTTTTTAAGGTCCACTGATACCCTGTCAAGTCAAGGTACAAAGTCCCCCTATAGTCGTCTTCCATGTAAGATCATGGCAAGGACATCTGACAAATATAACTCTTGGGTCTCTGCTAGAGATGTCCATATCAATGTAGCCTACCTTCCCTCAACTTATCTTCAACTGGGGCAATTTGCATTAGGCTCCTCATAATTTCATGTTGTTTCCTATCATGGAGCGTCCAACCATTTGACCATCTCAGCAGCTACATCTCTGTGGTGGAGAACATTCTGATTTATTTTCTGGTGGTTGGCTAAGTCTCTGTTCCATACATTAGGATGAGTCAAATTATAGTTTTATACAATGTGCTTTTTAACTTTTATTGGCCTCTTTTTGTCATAGAAAACTCAGTCAGCTCCTGTTGTTTGCACCAAGAAGCTTTAATATAAGGCTGGACATCACACAGGAGGATACCATTATCCTCAACCATTGATCCTAGGTATGTAAATTCTTACACTCCACTTAGCTCTTTGCTGGTAATATCCTTTATGGTGGGTCCCCTCCCTCAGTTATCACAGCCTCAGTTTTACCAATGTTCACTCTAAGTCTCACCAGCTCAAACCTGTGTTGCCACTGTTCAAGATTGGTTTGCAGGGTCTCACAATCGTATTTACATATCACTAAGTAATCGGCGAACAGAATATTCCAAGGAGGCTCCCTTTGTATATTTTCACTTATGTGTATGATGGAATTGCTGATTTTATGAGCATAAATGTGATCTAGTTGGGATTACAGAAACTTGGTGGGATGATTCACATTAGTGGAATGTTAAAATCAATAGTTATAACCTATTTAGGAAGGATCAAGTGGGGAAAAGGAGTGGGAGGTGGCACTCTATGTCAAAAGTGGCATTATCTGTTTCTGAGTCACTGATAACTTGGAAGAAAGATGCTTATGGATCAATGTCCTAACAGAGAAAGCACAAGATGTGGTACTAGCTGGTTTCTGCTACATGCCATCAAATCATACTAGGGAACAGGATGACAAACTCATTATGCACCTATATATAATATGTAGGAAAAAAATCTGTGTGATCACGAGGAATTTCTATTTGAGTGACATGTTGGAGGTATCATGCTGCCAGCACTAAAACATCCTTGGAATTTCTAAACATTATCACTGACAATTTTCTAACTCAAAAAGTATTGCAGCCAACACAGGGGAATTGTTTTTTAGACCTTATCCTAGCAGATAAAGAGGAACTGATCACAGAACTAAAAATTTATGGTAGCTTAGGTACAAGTGGTCATGATCAATGAGCAAGCAGAATAAAGTCCAGACCAGTAATATATATGTACACACACACACACACATACACACTCTCTCTCTCTCTCTTTGTGCTTTAATAGGGCAATTTCACAAAGTTAAAAATAATTATGAGCCAAATCAGCTGGGAGGCAAAACTTAATCAGAAAAATGTGAATGATAATTGGGAATAATTTAGGAACACTTTACTAGATACCAAAAAAACACAATCCCACTATTGAAGAAGAAGGCCGTACTGGTTAAAAAACTGACCTCATTTGAGGGGACGCAAAGCTGTAAAAAATAAAATATATAACAAATGGAAGAGAGAGGAAGTTTGATAGTAAAGAAGTTAGGAATTGTAAAAAATTGATATGGGAAGCCAAGAAACATACAGAGAAATCTATGACCAGCAGAGTTACGGACAATAAGGAATTTTAAAAATATTTTAGGAACAAAATGAATCCTGACAATAGCATTGGTCCATTACTAAATGAAAATGGTAGAATTATCAATAATAATGCAGAAGTGTTCAATAAATATTTCTGTTCTATATTTGGGGGAAAAACAGATGATATAGTTTCATTGTATGCTGATAACATTCTTTCCATTCCACTAGTACCTGTGGAGAATATTAAATAGAAGTTACTAAAGTTAGACATTTTAAAATCAGCAGGTCCAGATAACTTGCATCCTAGAGTTTTAAAGAGCTGGATGAGGAGCTTGCTAGACAGTTCATGTAGCTTTTCAATAAGTTTTGGGGCACTAGGGACTTTCCAGAAGACTGAAAGAAAACTGTTGTGCCAATTTTTAAAAAGGGTAAGCAGGATGACTCAGATAATTATAGGTCTTTCAACATGACATTCATCCCAGGCAAAATATTGGAGTAGCTGATGTGGGACTTACTTAATAAAGAGTTAAATTAATGCAAATCAACATTTGTTTTTGGAAAGTAGATTCCATCAAACTAACTTGATTTTTTTTTAACGAGAATACAAGTTCGGTAGATAAAGGTAATAGTGTTGACATAATATACTTAGACTTCTGTAAAGCATTTCACTTGGTACCACATTTAATGTTTTGATTAAAAACAATAGAATGATATAAAATTAACATGGTGCACAGTAAATGCATTAAAGATTGGCTAACTGATAGGTCTCAGAATATAACTGTAACTAGGGAATCTTCACTGAGTGAGTGTGTTTTCAGCAGGGTCCTGCAGGGATTGGTTCTTGGCCATATGCTATTAAATTTTTGTTATCAATGACGTGGAAAATAACAAAATCATCACTGACAAATTTGCAGATGACACAAAAATTGGGGGAGTGTTAAATAATGAAGAAAACAGGTAACTGAATGTAGGTCAGACTTACAGATGGGGGACTCTATCCTGGCAAGTAGTGCTTCTGAAAAAGATGTGGGGTTTCTGGTGAATATGAGTTCCCAGTGTGATGCTGTGGTGAAAAGAACTAATGTGATCCTGGGATGTATAAACAGGGGAATCTTGAGTAGGAGAAGAGAGGTTATTTTACCTCTGTATTTGACTAGTGTGACCACTACTGGAATACTGTGACTGGTTCTGTTGCCTACAATTCAAGAAGGATGTTGATAAATTGGAGAGGGTTCAGAGAAGAGCCACAAGAATGATTAAAGGATTAGAAAACATGCGTTATAGTGATCAAATAAAGGAGCTCAAACTATTTAGTTTAACAAAGAGAAGATTAAGGGGTGACTTGGCTACAGTCTATAAGTATTGACATGGGGAACAAATATTTAATAATGGACTCTTCAGTCTAGCAGAGAAAGATATAACATGATCCAATGGCTGGAAGATGGAGCTAGACAAATTCAAACTGGAAATACGGTATGCATTGTTAATGGTGAGTGTAATTAACTATTGGAACAATTTACCAAAGTTCATGGTGTATTCTCCATCACTGATAGTTTTAAAATCAAGCTTGGATGTTTTTCTAGAAGATATGCTCTAGGAATTATTTTGGGGAAGTTCTATGGTGTTATACAGGAGGTCAGACTAGATGATCACACTGGTTCCTTCTGGAAACTATGAATCCAACAACTACAAACAAAAAAGGGCTTTACTCTAACCTCTGATGCAGGCCAACATTTAGTGGAAACTCTGCCGTAGCCCCATTTGGTTTTGACTATGGAAGTTACTCCATCATACATATCCTGGATAAGTCAGACATGTCCTTCTGGCATGCCTCTCCATCACAAGCTCCAGCAAACCAATTCTCTTGTTATACAATCGTATACCTTGTCCAAGTCCACAAAGACCATGCAGTTCTGTCTCTTTTCTCTGAACTCCTCCATGAGGATTTGTAGAGCAAATGTGGCAACAGTTTTCCTCCTTCCCATCATAAACCCATACTGACTCTTCCAAATATCAACTGTGCCACTTAGATGCCTTTCAGTCATCTTCTTCCATGCTTTCATAGCATGTGATGTCATCTTAACTGGATGATAATTAGTGCACAGTTTAATATCTCCTTTATGTGCCTTCACTCCTTATAAATTGTAAATTTAAAATTAGCACCCCTTTAGGAAGTGGTTTCAGAGTAGCCACATCCTTGAGCATGATCGCATCCTCTTAAGAAATACTTCCCTTTTTCTCCCTAACTGCAGTATTGCAAATCCCTCGTGTCAGAATCATCTACTCCTCTTCAAGGTTTGTGTTCTCATAGACTCTCTGGAAATATAAAATAATAAAATTGATAGGGAAACCTTTGCTTGACTTAACCCAAACCTACATAGATAATAGACAATTTCCTGGTAATTTTTTCACTGAATGTAACGTCCCAACATATCCATCTAGTGAATTTCACTATCCAGTTTGACCTGAAACAGGTTATCAAAAGAATACCAACTCTCCAGTGATTTGTTAACAATTTACCAATATGTTCTTTATACATAATAAACCGTCTTTCTTTCATTTGCAAGGTGTGATTGTATAGTAGATAACTAAGGCCAATGCTATTTTGAACAATTGAAGGTCATGAAAATTTTACAAGAGAAATGAGTTGTGATGCAAATGTATTTCCTGCAGAAATCAGAAAAATTATTGGAAATGTCATAATCACTATCCATACCAAACCAATTTACTGACCGTCCTGGATAAGTGAAGTACTAAAAGCTAGCCGTATAATTGTATCCAATCTATTCTTTATTGGCTACATACCCAACAGGCTTAATTATCAGCTTGTCTTCAATGAATGCTCAACATATTGGCTCCAGATCCACTCATTTTAGGAGGCAGCATATAAACATATGCATTTAGCTCCCTGCATATGGTCACAATGGAGCTCTCTTATCAGAAATACAGCAGAAAAGAGAATCTAGTGACAAGCACTTTTTTATGAATATTGAAGAAACCAGATATTTTAACTCAGAGGGTGTCAACAGCTTCCAACAGATTTGGTTTTTCAAATTTTTTTAGATCCTGTGGGCAGAACTGAATCAATTACCTGGTCACATTTGGAAGAAAGAAAGAAAGAAAGAGAGAAAAAAAGAAAGAAAGAAAATAAATCTTCAGCTCAGTTACAGAAACAGCAACTATGTGTCAGGCACAACAGGATGTAGAAGCTTGCAGAGTAACTGCCTACAAAGTGCCTGGCTCTGGCCGATTTCCGAAAAATAGCTATATACCAAAACATATTTAACTTTAAATGTACATCCTTTATCAAAACAAATGGGATAAAGAATGACACCATAAAAATAAAACCTGTGAATCTTTTGTATTGGAAACAAATAAATTTAACTACAAAAAGGAATACCAAGGTATCAAAGTACTTGTAGAAAGATGTACAATTTAAAGATTTACTGTAAAAAGCATGCCAGCTAGCTTCAAAGAGAATTCACAGTCAAGGTTACTGCAACTATTGTACAAATGTACAGAATTTTGCTTTTCATATATAATTGTCCTATAAATCACAGGCAGAAACCTGAGACAGGGTGTAATACAATAAGATGCCAGTAAGCAAAATGTGCTGGAATGGGAATTGTCACAGTCTTAATATGCTTATTGTCGGGGAAATTTAGGGAAGCAAAATCAAATGAAATTTGTGGGCCAGATCCTCAGCTGCTGCAAATCAGTGTTGCTAGTTGAGGACGTGACTGTATATTGTATAGCTATTCATAAAGAAAATATTATTTCACAATTCATCACTGATAATTTCA